TCAAAAGGGTAAAAAGAGAACCTACAGATTGGGAGAAAATATTTGCCTATGACATATCTGACAAAGGACTTATCTCCAAAATCTACAGAAAACTTCAACACCTCAACACAAAAAGACAACCCAATTCACAAATGGGCAAAAGACTTGAACAGACACTTCACCAAAGAAGATATACAAGCAGCCAACAAACACATGAGAAATTGCTCACAATCATTAATCATTAGAGAGATGCAAATCAAAACAACAATGAGATATCATCTCACCCCAGCAATAATAGCAAAGTTCAACAGATCAGATAGTAACAAACGCTGGTGGGGTTGTGGAGAGATTGGAACTCTTTTGCACTGCTGGCGGGATTGTAAAATGGTACAATTATTGTGGCAAACAGTATGGCGTTTCCTTAAAAAACTGAAAATAGAAGTACCATTTGACCATTCCATTGCTAGGAATATATCCTAAAAGGTGAGAAATAGTACACAAACAGACATATGTACACCTATGTCCATTGCAGCACAATTCACCATAGCTAGAGATGGAAACAACCTAAATGCCCATCAACAGATGAGTGGATAACCAAATTATGGTATATCCACACAATGGAATACTATGCCACATTAAAGAACAATGAGGGATACAAGAATCATCTCGCAACGTGGATGAGCCTGGAGGACATTATGCTGAGTGAAATAAGTCAATCGCAGGAGGACAAGTACTGTATGAGCCCATTACTGTAAAAAGACAGAGAAGGGTTTGCTTGGGAAAGGGAACTCACCTAGTAGGTTACCGGGATGTGGAGGGAATGGGAGGGAGTAATATAGGGCTAGTTGGGGCTTACACGCTGACATGGGTAGGGGGAGGGATATACAGGAAGGATATATGACCACCATGGTAACACTGGGAAATGAGAGGACACCGAACTGTGGATAGACGACAGATGCTAAAACCAGCCAATGTGTCCACAATACCACATTGCATTAACACCAAACACTAGGCTATACAGATAAACACATAAACACCTGAGATGATCAGACAAGGGTCAGTGAATAGAGGTATATTCTAGACCAAGGATAGACTCAGCAGAGGCTAATCTTGTACAGACACCAGTGATACAAAATACCTGCAGTCTTTACAGAAACAATAGAAGACAGACACAGAGTAATCCCTCATAGACATCCCAACACTATGGGAGAGAGATCCAATAGATCTACTACCTCAGGACCATAGTACTGGGGTACACCAGACTCAATTGGCACAATAAAATACATTGATACCAACTTATAGTGTCCCTATAGGACAGTAGAATCACTCCTAGCGTTGCTCTACATCCTACATTGGTGAGTAGCGACTGGGGTTTTAAAAGCTTCCAAGCAGCCATCTAAGATGCAGCTAATGGTCTCCTACCATCGGAAGTGAAGAAGAATGCATGAAAAAACAAAAAACAAACAAACAAAAAAAAGGGCATTGAGAAGCAATCAACCCTAGGACACAATGGCCCTCGAGACCAGAAGAACTGGATGGTGCCTGGCTACCAATGCCAGCCACTCAGGAAAGGATCAAATCTGAAGATCCTGGATAGAGTGGGAGGGAAAACGTGGAGCAAAATCCAAAAACCCAATAATGACCAGAATTCCTGGTCAGATGAAGTCTGGTGAGACTCCTGGTACTACGGCCCTGAAATACATTCGGTGCCTGGAATAAAACTCACCCCCAGGGGCGGACTCTCAGCCCAATAGTTAACAAGATGTACATGCAGACCACTCAACCCAGGATGCCGCACCCACACACTCAATGGTAATACATCCCTTAGAGCAATAGACCACAGAACACCAAAGGACCAACATTCAAACTGAGGAAATGCAGGACAAACAGGAGTGCATAATTATGAGAGACACAGGGGGAGGGTTGCAGGGTAGGGAAGGGAGGAGACTGGGTTAGGGTTGGACGCGGCAAATAGGAAAGGAAAAAAAAAAAAAACGATTCTGCTCTACCATCATGCCTCTGATGATATGCATTTGACAGTTAAGGTGGTACCTGATTGGGGGTAGACAATCTCTTTGCACGTGCTCGTCTAGGCCCTTCAACAGCAAGGTGTAAGCTTTTTCTCCTGATACTTTCTTCAGATTCAGATTTAGATAGTTTTTCATCATCTCCCTTTTCTTCCCCATGGGAAAGCTTCTTTTGATTCTTTTTCTTTCTCCTGTTTCTTCGTTCTTTAGCACTCTTAGAACTCAGTTTGGATGTTTCAGAAGAACTCTCTGAGAGGCCCATAATTCTGCTTCTACCAATACTTGTATATTCAGCTGCTGCTGCTGCTATTGCCTGTTGGGACAAGAGGAAGAGTTTCCACATACAATGAGTTAATTCTGGGAAATGCTGTGGTATAGTAGTTCTCTGACATGATTTTAATTATGCTGTGCATATAATCATGTCCCTTGTACATGAAGTGATGAAGTTTTCTTCGCACTATGATCTGAAAGCGTAGAAAGCATATTTTTGGTTCTTGTGCATTGTAGTAGAGCTCCATTGTCCTTTAGAATTAAATTATTACATGTTATTACCAGTTTACTGTAAAGCAAATTTAAATATTGTATGTGAAAGTTCTACTAATTAATTCTGGGACAGAAAACTCATATAAACCCTATAGTAAGATAACTTGTACATCTCAGACAGGTAATTACCTCAATATTATCACTGTTATCAATAGAATCAGGCACACCACAGTTTAATGAATTATCTGAAAACTAAAGTGAATTATTAACAAATAATTTACCTCAAGGAAAAGGTAAAGTCAATGATTATTGTCCTGAAATAGAATTCTATGTATCATCTAGTATAATCTTAGTGTCACCAACTTAGGAATTCTGTTGGTGTAGTGCCTAAGGCATTTGACTGCTAACCTGAAGTCTGGCAGTTCAAACTCACTTGCCACTCCTCGGAAGGAAAATTGGACAATATACTTCTATAGTGATACCACCTCAGAAACCCAAGGAGGGGTCACTATGAGTCAGATCGACTCAATGGTCATAGAGTTTGAGTTTGGTTTTGTCACCAACTTATAAAAAATAAAAATGATTTTTAATTATTGTGAATAAAATAAAAAATCACTCACAATCTTACATCCTAGAAATAATTGGTGTTAATATTTCTTTCAGTCTTTTTGTACATACATTATTTTAAATTGTGATTGTATCTGATACCCAATTTTGTATCCTACTATTTAATATTAGCATTTTCCTCATGTCATTATAATTTTCTTAAAATACGTAATTTTATGGCTGAATACTTCTCCAAGCTATAAAAGCATCATAATCCTCTTAACCATTTTTGAACATTTAATGCGTTCTGATTTTTAATATGATTAAAATGCTACACTTAATATTCGGGCACCAAAGTTTCTCTGCATTGCAGATTATTACCTTCCCCCAGTAGCTTATTCGCCTTGAAAGGATTTAACTAGGACAAACCATCAAACAATTTTAAAACACTTGTGTATTTCATGTTGCGTTTCTCTTAAAACAAACATTCTCAAACATTTTCACTGAAGCACCCATTTGGAGAGAGAAGTAAGGAGGAAACCTTAGGATTTCTGACTTAGTCTAAAGTGACCACAATCCTAAATATGATTCTAACAGCTCATGTTTTATCTTAAAAATTCTTGCAGCATTAAAAAAAAAAAAAATTGATACATATTTTGCTTTCTATGCCATAGAGTTTGTTTTAACATAAACATTTCGCTAAACCTTAAATAATTTCTCTGAACATTTCTGTACAATTGTTACTTTGGGGAAATATATATATTCTAGAATTTTGCATAATCCCATAAGACAAGGTTGGGCAATCTACTTCCATAGTGATCCTGCCTCGGAAACCCAAGGAGGGGTCACTATGAGCCGGGTCTGACTCGAGGGCACATAACAACAAACAACAACAACAACTACACTTTGGCATCATGGGTAACAGGTTTAGAAGGAATAAACCTAGAACATTCTTCACGCAGAAGTCACCTGAAGGTGAAATGAGGCCGGTGTGCCATTCTAGCTTGGTCTAGAATTAATTCTTTCGTCTACACTAGAAATGATGATTCAGTTTATATATAAAAACCCATTAAGGAAATTCTACCTGGGAAGGGCGAGCATAGACCACAGAGCCTCTGTTGTGGCCTTCTGCACTTTTAAGAAGAATTTTAAACAAAATAACGGTACCTCAGCTTCTTCTTGCTCTTTTTTAAGTCGGTCTAACATCTGTTGAAATTCCAACTCTTTCTGCCTAGCTTCTTCAATGTTTGCCTGGTTCTGTTCCTCATAAGCCATAGCAACCACAGCCAGGATCAAGTTTATGAGGTAAAAGGAACCCAGGAAAATCACCACAACAAAGAAGATCATGTAGGTTTTCCCAGCAGCGCGCAGTGTCTGGAGAAAAACAGAAATTTTATGTTAATAATACAACTACTCTTATAAATTATTCCAACTTGAATGGTATGCTAGGCATCGGTAAATGAGGCAGTTTTGTATAATTTCATATGATCAAAAAATACAAAGGAATAAAATCATATCTTCACGAAAACAATCTGTAGTAAAACAAATGCATTTTCACTATAAAGGATATAGCAATTTATCAAATAAGTACTAAAGTTAGGCATGGTTCTTGATTATTATTAAGCATAATAATTCTTGATTATTATTAAGCATAATAATTCTTGATTATTATTAAGCATAATAATAACTGTGCATTTTTTTTCACAGACTGGAAATTTAGCTACTTTGCTCACTTACAAATTTTAGGGACAGATAATATCTGTAGCTCTTACTACTGCTGAAATCCTTTTTTTCCCCCCTTAAACATGAAGAATTAAGGATATTATGTCATTACACTTTTAATTTGCATTTATTTTATTTTGAGCAAAAGTGAGCATCTTCTTGCATATTTAAAAAGTCATTGCATTCTTTTTTCTATAATTCCAATGAAGTATATCTTGATGTCCTTCCTGCATTCATTTATAATAGCCTCAGAAATTAAGTAAATACAAACACAGACTAAAAGAATAATCTGTGATGATTTTGAGAAAAGTTATTCATTATTTATAAGGAAGAATAATCATTTTGGCCTCTTCTTGGGGTTGGGTGCTAAGAATATACAAATAAAAAGATAAAGCCCATGATCTTAAGAGGATCAAATTCAAGTTAGAAGAGATAGTCCTGTCAATGAACAGTTACAGAACAAGGGATTGATATATTGCTATAAATAGAAGAATACACAAAGGTCCGTGAAAATCTAGAAGAAAGAGTACTTGAATTGGGAGCAGTAAATGTGAAGTGAAGTGAATTGAATCTTTAATTGTAAATAGGAGTTCAACAAATAAACATGGTGAGCAAGTGAACACAGGACAGCCTGGTGAGTTTAGGGCACTCCAAGCAGTGAGCTATGTGTGGAAAGCATGTGTGTGCAGGAGAGGGAACATCACAGTATGTTTTCTGCTATTTACCTAGGGCCAATGGAATGCTATACTGAGGAGGAAGGAGGAGAGAGACCTAGAGATCAAATAACCCTAGAGAGGCAAAAATAAATTATGATTCAAGAACTATTCTCTCTACTAGTGCTAGGGGTAAAAGACATCCAATTTTAGTAATAAGATAATACAGTTTTTTCCATTCTAAACTGAATAAAACATTTTCATTATGAGACTGGTAAGAAGAACATAGATCACATTTTTTTTTCTCTCGAATGGCATAAAGCATACTTCCCTTGGCACTCACCTGTTGGTAAAGGTTTTCCCAGTAGTCCTGGGTCATTAAACGAAACAAGGCTAAAAAGGCCCAACTGAAAGTGTCAAAGCTTGTGTATCCATAATCGGGGTTTCTGCCAATTTTATCACATTTGTACCCTTCTGGACACTGACTACACACAAAAAAAGAATATTACAAGATAGAGTGTTTCAGAATACAAGATAAAGCACATTACAGAAAAGTCACAAATTCCAGGCTCCTTTAATGAGGAGGATACATATTGAGTAATGATTGAAACACATGATTTTGAGTCAGGAAGAACTAGGTTTTAACCATACCTCTACTTTTTATTAGTTGGTGACTTTGTCAAATTTCTTAAAAGAGAGAAATCTAAGAAACAATTTTCTATTTCTGTGAAAACAGAATAATAACACCAACCTTAAAGTGTTAAGACTGTTACAAAGTTTAAATAAAATAATACATGAAAATCACTCAGCCTAGTTTCTACAAAAGAAAGCATTTAATAAATTATAACGGCTATCATCAGCAACATCAACAAAGCTTGGAAACCTCAACTAAATAGGCTGTAATAATTTTCAAGTCTGTATGGATCGAGTAGGTAAGCCTTTACCAAAACTATACCTCCAAAAGTTAGTCTTATAGTGAACAGTCAATATATAGCAGTTATGTAAGTTTACAAATATTTGTACCTTTAAAATATTTGTCAAGCCTTTAGACTCTTCTTTCTGAAACTAATGGATCATATTGCAGAACAGAACATCAATTGCTCATATGCAAGTTAAAGTTGAAGAAAATGTTTAAAAGTCCATGAGAGGCAAAGTACAACCTTGAGTATACCTAACCTGACTTAAGAGACCATTTCAAGAATAGATTAGAAGCACTGGACACTAATGACTGAAGACCAGATGAATTGTGGGATGATAATAAGGATTTCATACATGAAGAAAGGAAAGCATTATTAAAAAAACAGTAAAGAAAGAAAAGACCAAAATGGATGTCAGAAGAAACTGAATCCTGCTCTTGAATGGAGAGTAGCTAAAGCGTGTGGAAGAAACGATGAAGGAAAAGAGCTGAGCAGAAGATTTCAAAGAGCAGCTCAGGAAGACAAAGTAAAGTACTATAATGAAATGTGCAGAGACCTGGAGTTAGAAAACTGAAAGGGAAGAACATGCTCAGTATTTCTCAGGTTGAAAAACTGAAGAAAAAATCAAGCATCAAGTTGGAATACTGAAGGGCAAAAAATTGAACAATGCCAGAAGCATCAAAAGAAGGTGAAAGGAATATATAGAAGTTACTGTGCCAAAGAGAATTAGTTGATATTCAACCATTTCAAGAGATAGTATATGATCAAGAACATATGGTACTGAAAGAAGAAGTCCAAGCTGTATTGAAGGCATTGTTGAAAAACGAGCCTCCAGGAATTGACAGGATACCAACTGAGATGTCTCAACAAATGAATGAAACATTGGGAATGCTTACTTGTCTATGCCAATAAATTTAGAAGACAGGTACCTGGCCAAATGACTAGAAGAGATCTAAATTTGTTCCTATTCCAAAGAAAGGTAATTCAACAGAATGTGGGAATTATGGAATATTACCTGGTTTGGTTACCCAGTGCCACTCTGACAGGAATTAAACCACAAATGGGTAAAACAAGAATTTATTCTCTTACAATTTTGGGGGCTAGAAGTCTGAGTTCAAACTGGCAGGCTCTCAGGGCTGGGTGAAAGCCCCTTGACCTGGGCTTCAGCTTTGCCTCATGTTCTTGGCCCAATGAAGCTAGAGGCTTTTCTTCACTCAGGCAGCTGCTGGATGCTGAGGCTGACAAACCCAAGGTTGATAAGTAAAAAGGCACAGTCCCAATATTACCAAGCAACACAGCAGGCCACTAATTCAAGTCCCAGGATAAAGTCCCAAGATCAGCAGGGCATGGCAGGCTGCTGAACAAGAACTTGGCTACATGCAGGGTTCAAGTGTGCCAAAACAGTAGAGACCTTCCTCAAAGCTGCTGCTTAACTACTGGAAGCAGCCCACATCTCTAAAGCAGTTACTCAGCTTCTCTAGCAGATATCACCATGGAGTTAATCACCAGCCTCACCATGGGGAATAACTACATCCAGATGCCCAGCCACTCAACCAGACCCAGCCAAGTTGACACACAACCTTAACTACCACAATATCATTACTATCATGCACAAGTAAAATTTTTCTGTATATAATTCAAAAATGTTTGCAGCTGTACATTGACATAGAATTGCCAGAAATTCAAAATGCATTCAGAAGAGGACATGGAATGATGGATATCCTTGATGATTCAGACGGATTTTTGCTGAAAGCAGAGAATACCAGAAAGATGTTTACTTGTGTTTTATGGACCAGGAAAAGGCATTTGACTATGTGGATCATAATAAATTATGGATAATATTGTGAAGAATGAAATTCTGGAACACATCATTGTACTCATGAAGAACCTGTACATGTATCAAGAGGCAGTTGTTTGAATAAGACAAGGGGATACTACATGGATTCAAATCAAGAAAGGTGTGCATTAGGGTTATATCCTTTCACCATACTTATTCAACCTGTATGGTAAGCAAATAATTTGAGAAACTGGACTATATGAAGAAGAGTAGCATCGGGATGATATGAATATTCATTAACAACTTGTGATATGTAGATGAAACAACTTTGCTAGCTCCAAGTGAAGAGTACTTGAAGCACTTACTGATGAAGATCTAAGATTATAGCCTTTAGTATGGATTACATCTCAACAGAAAGAAAACAAAAATCCTCACAACTGGATGAATAAGCAATATCACGATAAAAAGAGACAATATTAAAGTTGTCAAGGATTTCATTTTACTTGGATCCACAATCAATGCAACAGTCATGAAATGACGTATTACATTGGGCAGATATGCTGCAAAAGACCTCTTTAAAGTGTTAAAAAGCAAAGATGTAACTTTGAGGACTAAGATGTGCCTGATCCACACTGCAGTATTTTCAACAGCCTCATATGCATGTGAAAACTGGACAATGATTAAGGAAGACCAAAGAAGAACTGAATTATTAATTCTTTGAATTACGGTGTTAGTGAAGAATACTGAATATACCATGGAGTGCCAGAAGAACAAAGAAAGATGTGTTGGAAGTACAGCCAGAATGGTCCTTAGAAGCAGGGATAGAGAGACTTCATCTTACGTATTTTAGACATTTTATCAGGACAGACCCACCACTCAGTTTGCTGTACCATGGTGGCTTGTGTGGTGCTGTGAGGTTGGAGGCTATGCCACCGGTATTTCAAATACAAGCAGGGCCACTCACGGTGGACAGGTTTCAGTGGAGCTTTCAGAATAAGACAGATTTGGAAGAAGGAAGGGGCCATCCACTTCTCAAAGTATTGGCCGTTGAAAACCTTATGAATAGCAGTGAAACATTGCCTGATATATTACTGGAAAACTTAATGAATAGTCCTGAGACACTGTCTGATATAGACCCAGAAGATGAGCCCCTCAAGTCGAAAGGCACTCAAAATACAACTCATAATACTCAAAGTAGAGTCAACCTTAATGACATGGATGGAGTAAAGCTATAGGGATCTCCATTTGCTGATTTGGCATGAATCAAAATGGGAAGAAACAGCTGCAAGCATCCAATAATAATCAAAACATAGAACGTACAAAGTATGAATCTAAGAAAATTGGAAGTTGTCAAAAATGAAATGGAATGCATAAATACCGATAAACTAGGCATTAGTGATCTGAAATGGACTAGTTTTGGCCATTTTGAATCAGAAAACCATGTAATCTGCTACACCAGAAATGACAAATTGGAAGGAATGGTGTGGCATTCAGCATCATAAAGAATGTTTCAAGATCTATCCTGAAGTACAATGCTGACAGTGATAGGATATTATCCATACATGTACAAGGAAGACCAGTTAATACTACTATTATTCAAATTTACTCAATAACCACCAAAGCCAAAGATGAGGAAATTGCAGACTTTTACCAACTTCTGCAGTCTGAAATTAACCAAACATGACATCAAGATATATTGATGTTTACTGATGACGGAATGCAAAAGTTGGAAACAAAGAAGAACCACTTGTCATTGGAAAATATGGCCTTGGTGATAGAAATGATGCTGGAGATGGCATGATAGAATTTTGCAAGACTAACAACTTAGTCATTATAAATAACTTTTTTCAACAACATAAATGGCAGCTATACACACGGACCTCACCAGATGGAATAAACAGGAATCAGATTGAACACATCTGTGGAAAGAGGCAATGGAGAAACTCAGTATCTTCAGGCAAAAATGCCCAGGAGCTGACTGTGGAACAGACCATCAATTGCTCATATGCAAGTTCAAGTTGAAGCTGAAGTATACAATTAGAACAAGTCCATGAGAGCCAAAATATGACCTTGATTATATCCCACTTGAATTTAGAGACCATCTGAAGAATAGATTTGATACACTGAAACCAGTGACAGAAAACCAGATGAGTTATAGGATGATACCAAGAACATGATACATGAGGAAAGTAAAAGGTCATTAGACAGGAAAGGAAGAATAGATCAAAATAAATGTCATAAGAGACTCTGAAACTTGTTTTTGAATGGAGAGTACTAAAGCAAATGAAGAAATGACAAGATAAAAGAGGTGAACAGATTTCAAAGAGCAGCTTGAAAAGACAAAGTCAATTATTACAATGAAATGTACAAAAACCTGGAGTTAGAAAACCAAAAGGGAAGAACACCCTCATCATTTCTCAAGCTGAAAGAACTGAAGAAAAAATTCAAGCCTTAAGTTGCAATATTGAAAGATTTTTTGGGCAAAATATTGAATGATGCAGGAAACATCAGAAGATGGAAATAATACAGAGAGTCACCACACCAAAAATAATTGGTTCATGTTCATCTATTTCAGGAGGTGGTATATGATCAAGAACCAATGGTACTGAAGGAAGAAGTTGAAGCTGCACTGAAGGAATTGACAAAAAACAAGACTCCAGGAATTGACAGAATACACAGAGATGTTTCAACAAAAGATGCCATGCTGGAGGCACTTACTCGTCTACACCAAGAAATCTGAAAGACCTAGCCAACTGACTGGAAGAGATCCATATTTGCAACCATTCAGAAGAAGGATGATTCCACAGAATGTGGAAATTATCAAACAATATCATTAACATCACACGCAAGTAAAATCTTGCTGAAGATAATTCAAAAAAGTTTGCAGCAGTATATTGACAGGGAACTTCCACAAATGCAAGCTGGATTCAGAAAAGGATGTGGAAGGAAGAATATCATTGCTGATGTCAGATGAATCTTGGCTGAAAGCAATGAATACCAGAAAGATGCTTACTTGTGTTTTATTGTCTATGCAAAAGCATTTGACTGTGTGGATCATAACAAATTATGGATAACATTGAGAAGAATGGGAATTCCAGAACACGTAAGTGTGCTCATGAGGAACCTGTACATGGACCAGGAGGCTGGTATTCGAACAGAACAAGGGGATACTTCACGATTTAAAATCAGGAAGAAAGTGCATCAGGGTTGGATCCTTTCACCATACTTATTCAATCTGTATGCTGAGCAAATAATGAGAAGTTGGACTATATGAAGAAGAACGTGACATCAGGATTGGAAGAAGACTCATTAACAACCTGATATGCAGACAACACAACTTTGCTTGATACAAGTGAAGATGACTTAAAGCACTTATTGATGAAGATTAAAGATGACAGTCAGCAGTATGGAATATACCTTAAGATAAAGAAAATGAAAATCCTCACAACTGGACCAATTCACAGCATCATGATAAATGAAAAAGATTGAAGTTGTTCAATATTTCATATTACTTGGTTCTATAATCAACACCAATGGAAGCAGCAGTCAAGACATCAAAAGACATATTGCACTGGGTAAATCTGCTGCAAAAGACCTCTTTAACGTACTGAAAAGCAAAGACATCTCTTTGAAGACTGGAAAAAAAAAAAAAAAAACCTCACTGCTGTTAAGTCGGATCTGACTCATAGCGACTCTCCTTAGGTTTCTGAGGTGGCATCACTATGGATCATCCAATCTTCCTTCTGAGGAGTGGCTGGTGGGATTGAACTGCCAGCTTTCTGGTTAGCAGTCAATTGCCTTAGGCACTATGCTAAAGTGTGCCTAACCCAAGCCAGGGTATTGCCTCATATGCTTGTTAAAGCTGGACAATGAATAAGGAAGACAGAAGAAGAGTTAATACTTTTGAGTTGTGGGTTGCCAAAGAAAACTGAAAATACCATGGACTGCCAGAAGAATGAACAAATCTGTCCTGGAAGAAGTGCAGCTGGAATGCTCCGGAAGCAAGAATGGCCAGACTTTGTCTCACCTACTTTGGTCATGTTTTCAGAAGGGACCATTCCCTGGAGAAGGATATCGTGCTTGGTAAGGTGCAGGGTTAGCAAAAAAGGGGAAAACCCTCAACAAGATGGAGTGGCACAGTGGCTACAGTGATGGGCTCCAGTATAGCAGGGATTATGAGGCTGGTGCAGGACCAGGCAGTGTTATGTTCTGTTGTACATAGGGTTGCTATGAGTTAGAGCTGACTCAACAGCACCTAACAACCACCACAATCAGGACAGACCACTCCTTGGAGAAGGACATCATGCTTGGTAAGACAGAGGGTCAGCAAAAAAGAGAAAGACCTTCAGCAAGATGGACTGACACAATGGCTACAAAAATGGGCTCTAACATATCAACAGTTGTTGATAGGACCAGGTAGTGTTTCGTTCTGTTGTAAATAGGATCCCTATGAGTCAGAATGGACTCCACAGCACCTAAGAACCACATTCCTGCCGTCATTATACAAACACAGTGTCTCGAAGTTCCTTAAAATCAAGAACCTTCATCTTTTTTGTTTTTAGTTTACAAGTGTACACACTAGGTGTTTGTGTAAGTATGAGATTCCTAAAGTATCTTTCCCATATCCATGGAATTCTTTAGATTAATGTGGCCAAAATGTGACATGACTCAGTCATCTGTACGTTACACTTAATTGGAGAATAAGTAGAATTTAGGAAAACTCAATTCGTAGTTACCCTATCACACGCATGTACCACTGTCGAGTCAGATCTGACTCATAGCGACCCCTCCTTGGATTTCCAAGGTGGTATCACTACAGAAGTAGATTGCCCAACCTCCCTTCTGAGGAGTGGCTGGTGGGTTTGAACCACCAGCCTTCTAGCTAGCAGTCAAGTGCCTTAGGCACTACGCCACCAGAGCTCCTAGTGACCCTATAGAACAGACAAAAACTGCCCCACAGGGTTTCCAAGGCTGGAATCTTTATGGAAGCAGACTGTCACATCTTTCTCCTGTACAGTGCTCATGGGTTTGAACCACTACCCTTTTTGTTAGCAGCCAAGCTCTTAACCACTGCCTCACCAAGGCACCTTTTCAGAATTTAGGATGAGTATATAAATAGATTTTATTACTCTTCTTTCAAAAAGACCTGAAACTATCCAGACAACATTCGGTAGATTTTTCTGAAGTAATTTTTTAAACTTCATATTACTTTATCTTGTTTTGATTCAAGCACTAACTCAGATATTGCTTTCAAAACCGTGTATTAACTATGACAGTCCAAATCGGGACTCACTTTAGGTCCAAAACCAAAAACCTAATCCATTGCCATTGAGTTGATTCTGACTCATGTTGACCCCTTCTCTTACAGAGTAGAACTGTTCCAAATGGTTTTCTTGGTTGTCATCTTTATAGAAGCAGATTGCTGTTCCTTTATTCTGTGGTATCACTGGGTGGATTTGAACCACCAAACTTGAGGTTGAAGTTGAACACAAACTATTTTATACCACTTAGTTTCCTTCACTTTGAGACAGAATAAGTCAAATTATTAAGTAGGTGAAAACAATCCTAAACAAAGGTTCTGATTAGCAAACTGATTGCACATGCTTGTCCTTTTGCAGCATGTAGACTAAAACCAAAACAAATATTACTTACCCTGAATCTCCACTGAAACCACAAAGGAGAGCATCTTTGGATCCTTCCAAGTAATAAAAATATTCTGTTTAAGAAAAATTTGAGCAACATAACATTACTGGAGTGTAAGCTAACAGTAATAAAGTAGGTATCTATATCTACATATGCACATTCAGGTCTGATCCCAGGCAAGATGCATCCATTTATTTATTCTTCCTCAAGTACTTTTACATTAGCTTTTATGGGGTAAGCTGGGAATATGATGATAACATAATAAACAAACTGGCCAATTTTATTGAGCTTCCTTTTTGTCTACATACTAGGGGAGGTTGGGGTGAAGACAAGCAATAAACAAGTAAATTAAAAAAAAGTACAAGTATTTTTAGATACTAATAAATGTTCTAAAAATAATAAATTAGGACAATGGGACAAACTGTAGTCAGAGAAGGCTTCTCTGAAGATATGACATTTGAACTGTGACATACATGAGATAAAGTCAGCAATGCAAAGTGCTTTTGAAGAAATACCTGTATAAGGTTAAGACCAAGAGCAAAGCCCCTGCAACAGAAATGAAATTACTGTGTGGGAGACATAGCAAGATGGCCAGCAGGTCTAGAGTGTAGGGAGTGAAAAGGATTGTGTTGGCAAATAAGCAGGAGCCAGATCATGTGGAATTTCCCATAACATGGAGAGGAATTTGGGATTTTACTTTAAAAACAATTAGAAGCAAAGAAGTAGGAAGTGGAGTGAGACTTCATTTACATTTCAAAATATCACTATAGTTGATTGAGGGCAATAGACCATGGAAGCACAGGTGTGGAAGGAAACAAGGTGATGAGTTAATTACTATGGTGAGAGATGGTTAAGGTTATGACTTAGAGAGCATGTGGGAAGAAGAGATACGGGATTTGTCAATGTAGTGAATGTGGAGTATAGGACAGAGGGAAGACACAGAGATGTATCAACTTGGGGGGATGGTGGTGCCAGTTACTGAGATCAGTAACATCAGGACAAGAAGATGTCTGGAGAAAAACAAAAGAAACTCACTGCCATTGAGTCCAATCTGACTCATAGTGACTGACTCCTCCTTGGGTTTCTGAGAAAGTATCACTACAGAAGTAGACCACCCAATCTTTCTTCCAAGGAGTGCCTGGTGGGTTTGAACTGCCAGCCTTCTGGTTGGTAGTTAAATGTCTTGGCAATACGCTATCAGAGCTCCCGGAGAAAACTAGGAGCTCTATTTTACCCAAGTGAAGCTTGAGATGATGATTAGTTAACATACTGCATTTATTAAGGTGGGATTTAGACGGATATGGGAGTCTGGAGTTCAGTAGTGTGATCAGGGATGGAGACATACCAAGGAGAGTCATTACCACACAGTTTTCAAAGTCATTAGAATTGATTTAACACAATGAGAAAGTATGGCTAAGGAAGGGGAGAGAAAAAAGAAAAAAATATATATCAGGAAGGAAGGGAAGCAAAGGGAAAGGGAAGGAGCAGAATGGAAGGGAAGGATGGGAACCCAAACTGAGCCTTGAAATACTCCAATATTTATCAGTCCAGAAGACGAGGATTTGTCAAAGTCAGTACTATAAACTAAGCAAAATTTGTTTTCTAGAAATCTGAGATTCATTACAAATATATTTATTTAGAAACTTCTATATTCTGAGTGTTGAGGAACTGACCATGAAATAAATACACATTTTTCTCCTTTTATGGTACCTTCTTCACTATTTTCAAGTGTGAAGGGCTCCTAATCTCCTCTGCATTCCCTAGAAAAGCGTATTCTCAAGTCAGGGAGCTCATCCCACATTCCAGAATAAATGTATTACAGACTAGAAAAGCTTTTGTGACTTGTCACAAACATCCATTATTTTTAATAAAGGCCCAATGTCTTATTTTGTTCAAATAAAAAGATATAATTGCAGAAAGCTTTGACGATAACAGAAAGACTTTGATACCAGATATACTTGGATTTGAATCTTCTTTCTACCCTTCCCTATGCAGGTGAATTTTCTAACCACTAGAAGCCTTAGCCATCTCATCTGTAAAATGGAGATAGATAGGAATATCTACTCTGTAGGCTTGTTGACTAGTACGCCTAGGATACTGTACACAAAACACTTAATACAATGATTCACACATTCTATTCTAAATTAGCTACTTAAAGACAAGCAGATATTATTATTAAACTGTTCTGTAATTTCAGGTAAGACTTATTGATTAACTGACTTACATATCATCATTTTATCTTACTTGGCACAAATATAAAAATAAAGCCTCTCAGTTTGAGGTGAAACTTTAGAAAAGAAGGTACATGAGTAGCATCTTAAAAAAAAAAAAAAAAAAGTCCCATGCCTCCAGGTGGGTAAGCATAGTAGAGTGGGGTTGGGGAAAGATAAGATTCAATTTTTTTTTTTTTTTTAAGACATAACCTCTAAGATATTTTCTTATGTAATGATTA